CCAGCACTTTGGGAGGCCGAGACGGGTGGCTCACGAGGTCGGGAGATCGAGACCATCCTGGCTAACACGGTGAAAACCTGTCTCTACTAAAAATACAAAAAAAAAAAAAAAAATTGCCGGGCATGGTGATAGGTGCCTGTGGTCCCAGTTACTCGGGAGGCTGAGGCAGGAGAATGGTGTGAATCTGGGAGGCGGAGCTTGCAGTGAGCGGAGATCGCACCACTGCCCTCCAGCCTGGGTGACAGAGCGAGACTCTGTCTCAAAAAAGAAAAAAAGATGAGAAGTGCTTTTAGAGCACTTAGAGCATTTAGAGCAACGGGATGATTAATTTCATTTTCCATTTCGTTTCTCTGATCGGGCCTCATCTTAAATATTTGTATTTCTTTCTCTTCCTCACCTTCCTGCCACCAGTCACTGCCCAGTGACCTTGCTAGGTCAGGGCTAGAGTGTAATCATGACAAATAAACTGGGGGTTTCATGACATTTCTGACACCTGTTTGACTACAGAGACACTGAACTGTCCTCCGCCAGGTCCGTCCTGGGCACTGGAGCCTGCGTCTGAGGCCCCTGCCCCTGTCCTTGGCAGCAGCTCCAGGAATCCCCCACCTCCCTTCCCTCTCCTGTGTCAAAAGTATTGACTTTGAGGATCAGAAAGGGTCCTAACTGAGGCTTTTTCATTTTAACTAAAACTCTCAAATTTAGAGTGTTCTTCCCTTTTCAATATGCCTTTTTAATATTGATTTTTTTTTTTTTTAAGATGAAGTCTTGCTCTGTCCCCCAGGCTGGAGTGCAGTGACTCAATCACAGCTCACTGAAGCCTTGACCTCCTGGGCTCAAGCCGTCCTCCTGCCTCAGCCTCCTGAGTAGTTGGGACCGCAGGTGCCACCACCACACTCAGCTAATTCTTTTAAAATTTTTTTGTAGAGACAAGATCTCACTCTGTTGCTTACTGCATTTTTTTATTTCAAATGTTTATACCACATTTTTTGCTAAGCTTCTAAGAAAGAGCTGAAATTCACAAAATCAAATTCATACAAATTCTTGAAGAAACAACACTTGCCTTTCTGCAGGTGAGCAATTCCTGTTGTAAGCATCTGACACCAGACACCCTTCCCCGCTTCTTCCTTCCTTCCTCCCTCCCCCCACAGGTCAGGGTGGGACAGTGCAAGAGAGAAACATGGAGACACCACCAATCCCGTCACAAACACTGCTCAGGCCACTTCCATAAAAGTGTAAGAGGTTCTAGGCATCAGGCTAAAGTACTGCTGTTGAGATCCATGTGTCTACACCAGGTGCCACTTGAGGGTTTGGAAAGGCAGGCTGAGGGGCAGGAAGTAGCAGATTCTGATCCTGTTTCTGAAAAGTGATTTCATTTGTTGAATATCCCAGCACTGTTGTGAATTAAGAGTCACTAAAGCAATCAAGGTTCTTGTAAAATATTTAGGACCACAAAGCAGACATATTTTTCCTTATGGATCAATAATTTTTAAAGTTCAAATTAACTTAAAACATTAACACACTTTTCGTGAATAGTGCTTTGACCATGGGTTTAGACACCAAGGAAGCAGAGGAAGTTGGTGCGCAGGAAACAGCCTGGAAGACCCTTAGGTCTTCCAGGGCACATGTCTGCACCTCTTACCATGGAAGGTTGGCTCGGCTTCGAACAGTCGTATCCGAGGAAAATTCTAGCACTTCCTTGATAAACCACTGACATCCTTGAAGTTTCCTTCATGCCTTGATCCAACGAGAATCCCCCGTCCTGCAATTTTAGATTATTTCCTCTTACACTGACCTTATTTTCTTTGAGAATGTAATTAATGACATGAGTCTTGTCATTTTTCTTTTCTGTGCTTTAAAAAAACCAAGAGGTTCTGATGCTCACGTTGCAATATATTTTAAAACGCTGTTTCATTCTGGCTTCCTCGGGTACCTCACTCCGGATTCTATTAAAATCGTAATCTCTAGAAGATGGATTCAGCAAATGCCAGGCATGGAGCCATGAATGTTTTCATAAGAAACAAGAATAACAGAAAGAATGTGTGTTAGCCAGACGACACCCTGATGACACCTCCACCACCTCCCCAGCCCTTCCCAGCAGCAAAGTGATTTAGCTCAGATGGGCTTCTCCAAAATGGAAATAGTCACTTGTTTGAGCAAATAAATGTAATTAAAATTGTTCCGGAAAAATGCTAGTACTCTGCACTAATACATATCATCTTAAAAACTTAATTCTGAATTGTTTCCAATGACGTGTAAAGTTTCAAAGTACTCTCTGTTGTCTTATCCTTGTAGTGGAAGACACTACTTTCAACACAGACCTACTGTGTGCCTCCTGCCTGTGAGGCCTGGTGCTCACGGCGCCTGCCCTTGCATGCAAAATACCACTCTTCATCTTGATGTTTCTAGACATTCAGCCGTTCCTCAGGAAACCATTTACCTTCCCTCCGCCTTTTCTATAAAATGCATGGACTGAGGAATTACTAACTGCATAGCGCTTTGTTTGCTGAATACCAAGTAAACGCACTCTTACCATATACAGGGCTGTATCTAGGCGGCCAGTTATTAGAATAAAAACAAAATACTACCTTCACCCGCTCAGATAATCCCTGCGTTTGGCTTCATGGTATGGTTCCAAACTCCTAGTGACATTGTTAAAAGTGAACACGACATGGAACTTATTTCGTGATGAAATGTCCTGAGCGTGTGTCTGTGTGTTCTCAAATTATAGCTCACGTGGACAGAGAACGTTTTCTCGCTCCAGCACCAAGCGGGGATTGGGTTGCAGCGGTGAACAAAGGCCAACACGGCCCGCCCTCTTTGAGGCTGCAGTCTCCTGGGACACACGCCCACTAAACAAACAGCTCCACAAATTAATCATGCCACAGGGCGAGCGGCAAGGGCACCGTCACGTGCGGCAGGTAACCCAGGCGGGTCCTTGTCGTGGCGGAGGAAGGTCACACTGGAAGTCACCAGACGGAGGGTCACGCTCCAGGTTGCAGAGTGGGGGCGGGTGGAGGATCAGGCTGCCAGGGCGCTGGCTGGAGCCCAGCGGCAACGGACCCGTGGGAGAATAACCAAATGAGGCTCCAGGACAGGCAGGGGCCGCATGGTGCATGACCGGAGAAGCCAAGCCAAGGATTTGGAGCTACAAGCAGCCGGAAGCGTCGGCGGGCGCCAGCGGAGCACATGCGCAGAACTGCGCCCTGAAACGCGCCCTCCCCTGCAGACCCGGAGGAGGTGCTCCCAGCACCGCTGCGGACACTGCTGTTTCCTTCCAGGGACTTAGCAGAGTGGGTTGTCACCCACTCTGCATCAGAACCCCCGAGACGCTGGCACCGACGTCCCTGACCAGACTCCCATTCTCCACCCAGTTTGATTGGCTTAGTTTTGGTCTTCGAAGATTTCTCGTCTGCAACGTACCTCTGCAACCGCAGCAAGCCTCCCTAAGATGCATTCTGCTGTAGGTCACGTCATAGACACGGCGGTCCGCACACACCAGGAAACTGTGTTTGTGTGTGCGTGTATTCGCTGTATAATCCAGCTCAATGCTTTCGCTTATGGGACGTTTCAAACGTATACGAAAGAGGAAAGAACAGTAAAATGAGCGCCCCCGTGGGCCACTCCCAGCTGCAGCGACCCCCAGCAGTGCCCGTGGGACTCCCCCTGCCACTGTGCCCACGGTGGGTGGTGAGACTCTGGATCAATCCCAGACCTTACATTGTTTCATCCATAAATATTTCAGAATGTTTCTCTAAAAGAGAAGGTCTCTTTTAAAAATGAACAGTAATAACACATCACATCTGAAATATTTAGCAAGCATACTTTAAAATCATTCGGACATCCCAGTCAGTGCTTACATTTCTCCAGTTGGTTCATAAATGTTTTAAACTGCTTGAAACAGGAACCAGATCCAGACGCTGCGATGGATTGACATGTGTCTCTTTGAATCTATAGGTTACCCTTTTCCACTTTCTTGTTTTTTCCTTGCAATTTATTTGGCTACAGAGTTCCCTGGATTTGGCTACGCAGATCCGTGGGGCATCCAGGAAGGAGTTTTCAGTCCCCTGTGTTTCTGTAACTGGTAACTAGACTGAGAGCTGTCATCAGATTCAAGATTCAATGTTGGTAGCAAAACACTTCTTCTCTTCGCTGGTGTTGCTGGCCTCTGTATTTAATGTGCCCTTAATGCAAGGAGGAAAGGCACAGCAGAGTCCCGTCTGAGGGAGAGTGAACACCAGTCCCTCCATGGAGCTCCTGCTACGTAGGTCGCCCTCTGTCCATCCTGGGAACCGCTCAATGCTTTGAGGTATGCACAGGTTAAACATGCAATCGCTGCCATTTCCACTAGAAGGAACCAGGGCTTAGTGGGGGAAAAGCAGCCAATTCCAGGGCCGGAGTGGGGTCAGTCCACAAGGAGCCCGCGGGGTCCTGCTGAGCCGGAAGGCGGGACATGCTCAGAGACAGGGCCGCCCACCAACAGGAAGCAGAGGAGCCGCTTCCATGACTCCCACACCCAGTCCGAGGCCATGTTAGCGCCAAACGGTGACAAAATCATGACAACTGTCACCCACTGGGTACAAAATAACTCATGAGTCTACACTGACGTGAATGAACGAAGGAATGAAGGAATGAATTAGGAATGCTTATTCTTTCTGTGGAAAGAACTAATAAATGCATCAGGGAGATGGAATTAGAAAATCGCGGCTGCTTCATGAGCGTGCCTGCTCTTACCATCACCACCTCATGATGGCCAGCAGGCAGCTTCCTGATGGAGCAGAGGAATGGGTCGCTTCTCATGGATCCAGGGAAACCAAAGCCTTGAAAAGAGAAACACCAAGGCCACCTCTGCCGTCAGCCTCTCAGGCTGCAGGCGAGCGCAGGTCCACGCTAAGGCAAAGCCGAGTAACTAGGCGAGAAACACGAAGGCCACCTCTGCCCTCAGCCTCTCAGGCCGCAGGTGAGCGCAGGTCCACGCTAAGGCAAAGCCAAGTAACTACGCCTTCTGGTTGTCATTCATAAAATTTATTTTGGAAAAATATTTTAAAAAGGAATTTCTTCATTAACAAAACAGTAAAAAACTCAAATAACATTTGCACAATATTCCATAAATACATTTATATACAAAAAATATAGTCACATAGACCCGAAGTGCCTTTGTACATATTTACCAAAATTTAAATTATAAAAAATGAACATCACAAAATACTCAAGCTTTACAGATATCATGAAAAATATTTTTACAAATCCAAAAAATAACACACATCTTTTCCATCTAGAAAAAGCACATTTTCGTATCAAAAAGGACAATAAAGGCAGTGTTTGTGTTTCTAATTCAAGAAAAGACTGGCTCATAAGAATCCAAAATATACACTTCAGGCAGTGCATGCTTCTTATGCGTAATTCAGTTCACCCATTTAAATATATATTCTTTTAAGAGCAACTGTCCATAGTGCAACGGCGACGTCAGGGAAGGCAGAGCCGCAGGCGGCCGGGCCGTGGCAGGCTGTCGGCAGGCGTCGAGGACCTCAGGAGGAGAACCTGCTCGGTCTGAACTCAGTTTCTCAGCAGCAGTCCACGAGGCCTCCCTCCTCTTCAGCAGCATTCGTTGGGGCATATATCCTTGGAATTTTACTTATTTTAAGAGAAACAGGAATCTTGCCATCTCACTTCCATTTTACACCTGGAAGGGCCACAAGACAAATGGGAAGTTAGCCTGAGACGGATTCCCATGCTCCGGCTTCAGGTGCTCCCATGCTGAGGAGGAGCGAGCGGCCGCTGCCTGCACTGACCTCAGTTGCTATGACGCACTCATCCTTCTCCTCGGATATGACGTACACCGACTGGTACTTGGTGTCTTTTGAAGTTGAACAGCCCGAGTCTGGCCTTTTTCTTTCCGACGCTTCTCCACTAAAAGGAAAATAGAGAAAATCCACAATGAATGCATGAGAACATTTGGGAAGAGAAATGGACCAGTGCTTCCAGGAAGACACCCCCACGTACCCCCTCCTGATGCCCCGCCCACAGCACGCACCCCCTGAGTGTGGTCGGGGTCCCCTTCTCCTCTCCTGAGGAGCCCTGGGGCTGGCACTTGGTGTCACGCTTGCTGTGCGTGTCCCTGACGGTGGCGTCGTCACCCTTGAGGTCCTGCACGAGGTTATAGTCCACCGCGGGGTAGCGAGCCTTGAAGCCATTCTTGTCCGCACTGTGGTCCCCGTGGAAGTCCGCCTTCTTGTTGGTGTTCTTGATCTGCGTGGCCCCGATGACGCTGACTGAGATGTCCTTCTCACGCTGGCAGTTGGCCAGGTTGTTCATGGTCTCCGTCTCCCCCCGGCAAGGGTCGGCTGGGGGCCGGCGCTTCTGCAGCCTCAGCCGGACGCAGACCACCACGGCAGCACAGCCCAGCAGCAGCATGAGGACAAGGACGACCCCGGCGCACACGGCCACCCAGGGGAATGGCCCGCCCTGGCCCTCTAGCTTCTCAGTGAGGTCCACCACCGCCGGGCCTGGGGGCAGCTCGGGGAGCAGGAACTGGCAGTTGGGACCCCCGTAGCCCCGGGCGCACTCGCACACGTAGCGGTGGCCCCTCTCATGGCAGGTGGCCCCATTGTGGCAGGGTGCGTGCTCGCACCTGCTGACAGGGGCACTGCAGTTCCTGCCCGTGTAGCCGGGCGGGCAGGTGCAGGAGAAGTCATTCACGCCATCCCGGCAGGTGCCCCCGTTGGCGCATGGGGCGGACGCGCAGTCGTCCACGTTGTTGTCACAGTGCCTCCCCGAGAAGCCGGCCTGGCAGCGGCACAAGTAGGCATCGCCGAGGTCCACACACTTGGCGCCTGGAACACAGGGACATGAGCGTCACGTGTCTCCTCGTAGGTTTGTTCACCAAAAAGTCATTCTGAAGCATCTATCTGTCTGTCACTGTAGAAACCAGACAAACCAAAGACAGCCTGCGGCCTGAATGAGTCAACAGTGCAAGGTGACGTGGTCTAGGACCTCAAATACGAGAGGTGTCCAGGTCTAGCTCTACAAGTTAGAAACCACGTGGGCGCATCTGGACAGGCGCTGTGCAGAACCCTCCCCCCGGTGACTGCATTAGTCGCCACGACAGCCCGACAAGAGCATGTGCCACTCGACCCAGGTTTCAGATGGGGAAACTGAGGCTTAACAAGGGTGTCCTTGCTCACAGTTACACAGTGAGTGAGAGGAGCAGGCACTGACAACAGGGGAGGGAGGGAGGGAGAAAGGGAGGGAGGCAAAGGATGACCATTCCAGAATGCTCTGGCAGATCTGGGGCCCAGCTCTCCTTACTGTGTGTCTGCTTTGGGCAGCCAGCCCCTCACTGCTAGCAGGAGGCTCTCTGTCCTCACTCAGGGACACCCCTGACTATTGTGCTGGATGGCCACACAGCTGGGCCACTTTCCAAAGTTGGAGTGGCCGGGGCCTGTGGGCATCACTTACTGAACCCCAGGCGGCTGCAGGTGCCCTGAGCACCTCGTGGCCCTGAGCAAGTCATACACTGCTTGGTCTAGGTTTTCGCAGAGAACTTCGTAATAAATGCCTCAGCCTCTCTCACTCCCCAGGTCTTTCCAGACTCAGAGTTTCCATCGAGAATTCCTGGCGGTCTGGATAAAAGTGCTTCCTAAACTGGAGGTCACTCACAAATGCTCGTTTTAATGCCGTCTCAGTATTGACCACTCGCCCAAATCTCTGAGCAATCGCCAGTTGCCCCCTTACCATTAGAACAGGGTGAAGAACTGCAGTAGTCAATTTTCTTCTCACAGTTGAAGCCAGAGTAGCCCACAGGGCAGCGGCAGCTATACCCTCCATTGGGGCTGTCTGAGCACCGGCCCCCATTAAAGCAAGGGCCGTCCGCACAGGTCATAGCACTCAATTCACAGATTTTGCCATAGAAGCCAGGTGGGCAGGTACAGGAATAGCTGTTCTCGAGATCCTACATGATGGAGAGGTCAGAAAAGGCTTTCCAAAGTTGCTCCAAGGAGCCCACACACTCCATTCAACACCAGGGCACCCCAACTTCGGGGTAAGATGCCACGGAGCCTCCAACTCACCGTGCAGCTCCCTCCATTCTTGCAAGGGCTGGGGTCACACTCGTCGATCCCCAGCTCGCAGGTGGCACCTGTGTACCCAGGCCGGCAGGAGCAAGTGTAGCTCCCCTGGCCCGTGTTGGTGCAGGTGGCCCCATTCTTGCAGGGCTTATGGTGTGTGCAGTAGTTCAGGTCTGTGAGGGGTGGGGACAGGAAAAGTAGGAGATAGGAAGCTCGACGTCAAATGCAGGAAGACTTTATTTTTCCAGTGACCAAACAGCCAGGGAAGTCCAGGGCTGCTCTGGAGGGAGCAGGCCGCCTCAGGGAGAGAAGGCTTACCCTGGTTGCAGAAAAGGCCCCCCCAGCCTTCCTGGCAGTTGCACTGCCAGGGCTGCTGGCAGGTGCCATGGAGACAGCCTGGATAGCGGATGCACTCGTCACAGTACCGGCCCTGCCAGCCCACTCTGCACCTTGGAGAAAAGCAGAAGACTCAGATGGAGGCTGACTGTTGCTGACTTTGCAGTGGACATCCTCACCCTAGAAACTGTCCTCCCGCAGCGCCAGTGAGCCTCTGGTTCTCCAGGTCAGCGGAACACTGGGTCACCTTGGGAACTGTGGCCTGGCCTGGGCCCCACCAGAGGTTCTGGCTTCGTGGGTATTAGGGCAGCCCCAGTGTCAGCATCTCAAAAATCACTCCCTGAGTGATTCTGGGATGAGGCAACATTTGAGAACCATTGAACGATACTGTTGTCTCCTGGGCCAACTCTTTTTAAACTACTCTCTGTAAATTCTCATAGCCATGAAGGGGCGTAAATGAATGACAACTCCATGACCTCACATGCTGCCAAACATTTATTAAGTAGAAACACGAGAAAACAGCCCCCTGCTCAATCAATCTTACCGGAGTTTTTCGAATGATCACCTATAGGGCTGTTTTTACAAATATACCAGGTGTGAAAGGATAACAAGAAAAGGCAACACAACAAAACACCACCTTGTGCAGACTTACTTGCATTCCCCTGGCTTGTCACAAAATCCATGCTGCTCATCACATCCCGGCAGGCAGATCGCTATAAGCAAAGGAAAAACAGGGTCAAGCCCCACGCCAAGTACCTCCCAACAGGGCTGCTGCCCTTGGGGCCGGGACACAAGTTGCCGGCTTCAGTCAGCAAATCCCAGCTGAGTTAATCTCCCCAGGTTGTGGAGGACTGACCCCCCTGCCTAGTAGCCTGGGACTTGACTCAGCCCTGGGGATGAGCATTCTTCTTAACACAGTGGCTCAAGGACAAAAGGGCTCTCGGAAGCCCCCACCCCCACCCTATCCCCTTTTCTTCTAAGAGAGGGTCAGAAGTCTTCCCCCTCCTCCTCCCCCACTTCCCAATTCTATGCACAAAGCTCCACCTCTTAATATCCCAGAAAGTGTGTGTGCAGATAAGAGTGGACAGCTGGTATGCAGGGTGCCAGGGCAGGACAGCTGCTCCATTGTCTGTCCTCTACGGCAGCTGCCCCAGCGCAACAATGCCGGCCTCCCCCGCGCCCCCGGCCCCACCTCCTCACACACACCCCTCGCGTGTACACACACACACACACACACACACCCCTTCTGCCAATGGGAGCCGGCGGGTGTCCCTGCGCCTATCCCCGGAGAGATCTAATCTACGGCACGCGCGAGCTGGGGGCGGGGAGAGACTTCAGTGTTTGAAGAAAAAAGTCTAAGTTTCTGGCTACCCTGTGGTGAAGAAGAGGCAGGGAGGCAGGGTGGGAGGCAGCAGACTGGCCAGAGGCTCCCACCCACTGGCCAGAGGCAGGGGGTGGACAGTGGGCTTGAGGCTTGGAGCTGGCTCTTGCTGCCTGGTTATGAAACTCATTAACAAGCAGCTCCACAAGTTTTATTTTGTTTTGTTAAAAAAAAAACAAAAACAAAAACCAGAACCAGTTCAGGCCAAGGCAGAGCTTAGAAGGAACTCAGTGAGTTCTAGAGGGCATTTGGGAAGCTAAGTAACGAGGACATTAAGGCACTCAGTGAATGGGAAGACCCACCCTCAACCCCAGGCACTACCCAGCTCCTGCCAGAGGTTCTGGGCCTCACAGAGTGCCTCTCCAAGGTTGTCCAGTTCCAAGCAAGGAGAATGACAGTTCCCTGGAGTTTCTGGGCAGCTCCAGGTCCGACCCAATCCCCAGCTGTAGGGAAATCCCGTATCAATGGGCTGGGACGGCCAGGCGTGCAGATGAGGCCTCAGGAAGCTGGAGAGAGGGCTCTTGAGGTCCCCATGAACCAGAACCAGGAGCCAGCATGGCCCCCACCCTGCCCTAGTCACCTACCTGCCATTAAATTGACATATCAATACCTAATAATCAGGCAGGCAGAACCACCGTCACTATTGGGAAGACATTGCTTTTCCAGACAAGGCGCCGCCTGAGCATTCAAGCCAGATGGGGCTGTGCACCCCTCGCCCACACAGGCCTTGGAGACCCAGCCTCAGCAGCCCACAGGGGCGAAAGCCTGCCCTCTGGCCAGCATAGACAGTGCGCATCACAGGGAGTATCCGGAAAGGCGTTTGCTCCAGAGAGGTCAAGCACACCAGCTCCAGAGAGAAAATGGAACGTTTCCCAGTGTGATGCTGTCACAGCACAGGGAACTCTGGTTGAAAGCGTGCCCCTGACACACAAGCTCTCTCTGTGTTCCTCCCTTCCTTCCTCCTCTCCCTCTCTAATACACACACCCTGAGGGTAGCACTGGCTTTACTTCCTGACCCCTGGCCCTGTCTCTAAAAGCCTCCCTGATTAAGAAAGGCAGTTCCGATAGTGGATAAACACAGTCTTGGATGTTAAAATGTCTGCATTGACCCCAACTCCCAGACTCGCGAGCTGTGACTTATAGCCATCCACTTCTGTCCTCTGGGCCTCAGTTTCCCCACCAGAACATCTCTACAGTCCCAAGCTCCCCCAGGCTCAGGAAGCCCCATCCCTGCCCGCGGTCCGTGTTGGTGGACGAGTGAGCCGGCGGTGTCTTCCCAGAGACTCACGCTCTGTGCAGTAGGGCCCTTTCCAGCCAGGGTTGCACACTTTCTCCCCACGCTCCCCACAGGTGAAGTGGCCGAAGGCATCGTCCCGGGGGCGGCAGAAAACAGAGCAACCCTCTCCATAGTAGTGTTCGTCACACACGAAGCGGTAGGAGTACTTGAGATCCGTGCGGCCGCTGCTGTGCAGGTCCTGGGACCACTCCTCGCCCACGGTCAGGTGCCTCTGGGTGGCCAGGCGGCTGATGAGTCTTTCTGGGTTTTCTGTGGGGAGAAGATGTTCCTGGTTGGTTCTGACCGAGAACCTTGAGACTGGGGACAGAGCGGGGGGTGGACCGAGACATTCATTACAGGAAGGAGGCCCAAGTCGCGCCACCCTGAACTTTCTGGGGCTCGTGCAGAATGAAAGCTGTCTGGGTTTGGTTGCGGGATGGGTGGGCCAAGTCCAATGCTATTAACTGGGGGAAGCAGTTTTGGGGTTTGGGTTTTGTTTTTACCTGTTGCGAGGTCATCAGGAGAATCTGTGTGGAGAGCTTCAATAATCAGAGAGAAGGTGCCCTGGGAGAGAGGGGAGAGGACGTAAGACAACCCAGAAATGTAACGAAAAGAAACAGGGAAAAAGCAAAGTCATTCATAACAACCAGGTCAGCAACAGAGGCCTGAAGGCTGCAGGTCTGGGGCAGCGTGTCTGGAGAGGGTCTCCACGCATCTCCTGCCTGCTCTCACCTTCCCTAAGGAAATGGAAGAACTTTTTAAAGAGTGGTTTCCTGACGTGTGTTTTCAGACTATACTACAGGATATTACGTTGTTTTTTTTAATTAGAGAGAGAGAGAATGCAGGCAGGATAGGGTGGAAGAGGCCCGAGGGCCGTTGTCATTTTTCTCGGGGGATGGGCACGTTCCGGGTGGGAGCGGTCTCGCTCCGCGGGTAATTGCGCCACCAACGCGTCTAGGAGTCGGGAAACCAGAACCTTCCCCACGTGAAGGGGCGCCTCTGACTGGGGACCTGGCACAGAGGCCGGATACGGAAACCTCCCGGGCGCACTCGGCCTCTCCTCTTCGCCCCAGCGTGGTCCCCTCCTGCAGCCCGCGGGGCCCCGGGGCGA